GTGTAGCTTACCATCAGGCGCACGTCTTGTTCATCCCGTCACTTAATATTAAAAAAAAAACATAAGTTGACAAGTCCCGTGTGTCTGTAATTTAACCACTTAAAAGACATTAACTGCCTCCATGGCCGAACGGTTACCATGCCGGACTGCCACGTAGAGGTCCCTGGTTCGATTGCAGGGCCGGGTGATGGTATGGCCTTCATTTATTTCTCTCGTGAGTTTGGGTGTAATTTGTGGTTGTCTATGGCACCTGCGACACAGGGTTTCCCTAGTGCGGGGCTATGTTGAGTGTGTACGTTATTAGTTAGGTGGGAGAGCCAAATTCAAGACTGAGCAACCCGTTGACGCAGAGTGCTGCAGCTCTATACTCCTATGTGAGGTCTTGCTATCTGCTAAGGAGAAATACCTCTCATTGGAGTAGTGGCAGATAAAGCAGAACGTTTCATGCCTTTTCAAAATAGATTTAATAAAATACAAATGAAAATATCAAAGACTTCAATCTAGTACACAGATATCGTTGGAAAATATAATAAAAATTACAATACACAAAACATACATCATGTGATGAACTTACTACATCAAGAACTGGCAATCCGAGATTCCTTGACAAATAGCAACATAAACATTTGGGTCCTAAGTTGGAAGAGACTACATAAATCTAAATGGGGAAGCGGGCATACCAATTTTTTTAAGCGGCGTGCTCCATTTACATACATGGATACCTAACAAAGACCTTACACAAGTAACCTTCGATAACTGAAAGTTTGGCTGAGATCCCAAAGAAGCAACTCAAAAAGCGAAAACTACAATTTTTGTAGCAGTACCGAGACCTCCTTGTGAATGCGCTCCTCCAGAGAAGTACTGCCTCCATACCTGTTTCTGCCACCAAGCAGTAATGCTCACATTATTGCGTTCCGGTTTTGAAGGGTAGGGATGTTGGTGAAATTACAGGCATATGGGACTTGTCAACTGTTTCAGAGTGTCAGGCGCAGTGGCAATGTCCTTTAGGTCTTTGCGATTTAAAGCTCTAAGTGGCTCTGCAACTGTTATGGACAGGCGTGTCGCTTACCACCAGGCGCACTAGATACTTGTTCGTCCCATCGCTTGGCAACAAAACATCATATCATAAAAAAAAATTTAAACAAAAAACTCTCAAAAACATTAGAAATTTCAACATATGTTATTAAAAATAATGTTAAGTTACGTAGAAGTATCGTTGTTAACAAATCCTCGTTATATTAAGCAAAGACGTAAATAAGCCTCTAATAAATACCTGACTATTTTTACCGAAGAGTTGGACTTAGATGAGAAAACTTAAAAAGAACCCAGATCGTACAAAGAACGTAGATCCTTCCATTACACTTCGACAAAAACAGATTTTCACATAAATATATTAGGAACTTCTGTAACTAATTAAGCTTGAAACTGATTTAGTTTAAAATTAACGTAAAGCGCAACACTAGAGTTTTATTTTTGTCTAAGTGTGACGATGCGACTCTCATCTTCACTCCTCTTTCATCGTCGTCCCACCTTTTACCACCCTTTTCTCTGGTTCCTAACCATCTACTTTCAAACTTTTAATCGTTCTTAAATTCCTTTTTCTTTTTGGTCACTTGCTTTTCTTCTTTTCATCGCCACTCTATACTAAATTTCCGAAACGAGCTCACGTACTCGGCTTGACATAAAATTCTGACAAGTTAAACCATGTCACCTAACTGTCAAATTACATAACGGAACTGCCTACAAAGCATAGTATTTCTAGAAATTACACCTGTAATTATATCATTTAAGTACCTACGGAGTGTCTTATACCATTGTACCTGTTTTTGTATCATTGTTTTGTTACAGCCCTTACGCCTTTACTTTACCTGTTCTTTTCTCTCTTTATTTCTACAATAAAATTCATGTGGACGGTGCCTAGTATTTAATTACGCGAGACCCGCGAGACTTGGGTGTCTCCCCATAGAACCTGCTATAATGTTATAATGTTCCCGTAATTGCATGATGAAATCGTATAAGACCATTCTGTATGGCTTCGTGAGTTTGACAGATAATTCAAAATCCGTATAATATGTCACAATAGTTAAGGTGAGACATAACCCAGCGACATCTGTAAGTGAACGAATTGCACGTAATTTTTTAAGAGTTCCAAAACTTTTAACAATTTTATTGACAACTTGCTCCTCAAGATGCAAGTTACTGTCTATAAAGTCCAAATTTCTAACGTACTTTTAACACACAGATTTTCAAATAGACTTACTAAACAGGCATACCTGCTGATTCTTCAAATTATATCCAGAACTACTTTTTCCCAGTCTTTGTGTACCTACCTAAGAATATCTTCGAAGTTATGCTTTCTAAATGGACACAACCAAATATGGTTACCTTATTTAACGTTTCCACGTTATTACTCAATTCACAGTATTTAGTTCTCTTGTTTCTTGTTTTTAGTAAATATATAAACACAATTTTAACACTTACTACGCCACACGTTGCTACGAGCCGACCGAATATCGTTGTCGTAGACAACTCGTAGAAAAATACCTCGACTTATGTTAGCACAACATTATGCTAAACAACGGTCACGACCGTGAACTTTTGGTACATGGAAACCACGACCAAATATGAGATCGTACATTTTCTATCACGCCAATTTTATCGCAATGCAGTAAATACTTACGTAAGTTTGCTATATGCGGGTGTCCGTTTCATCAAATATCACTCGAAAAACAAATCCAATTTATAGTACAAGTACTCAAACACAGGCCGGTAAACGAAAAACACTAGTAAAGATTCTTAAAAAGTTAAATTAAGGAACACAACGTACGAAATTCGAATTGTTTTGAATATTGCACTAGTTCGGAAAAGATCGCGACGGTATCGCGAGGTTTTCACTAGAGAAAGCGACAGCACGCGAACGCCCTCTGAGCGGGTTACACGCGAACTGAGGAGGACTATTCCGTGAGGGACGGCATTGGGGTGAAATGGGGTAAGCGGGGGAGTCACTAGCAAGTGGCGGGTGAGTCTGAATGGGACGCAGCGCGACGCCGCTGCCGACTCTAGCTAAATGTTAGGACCCTTGTTTCGCAATGGGTTACTAATTATTGCGTGCTTCGATATAATAATTTTTTGTAGATTTGTAGAGCATTGCTCTTCGCATTGCCCAGTCGCAGTTTTCATTTGTTATTACTAAATTTAGAATTCGTTAACTTTAAAATCAGTTCTATAAAGGTGCGAATATGGTGTAAGTAATTAGAACCAAATATAAATGTAGGTATATTCGTTTCTTTATAAATAAAGAACGAAAACCTCCTTGTAAGAAATTGCAAATATGCCAGACTCTCTTCACTTTTGCACTAAAGAGTTTAAATAATAAATTGAACTTAAAAAAGTCACTATTTATGTATGTAGAGAATTTCTGATCTTATTTAATTAGAGTGATAATTATAAAATATAAAATGAGAAGCAGAAGCACAGGTAAAACATAGACTATTAAAATTCACTTTTGCTTTCAGTTACATCTGTTCAAAAAAACTTCTTATTATTGATGTATAGTTATCGAAATTTCTCGATTTTTCAGCGACTTTTTACTTATAAAATATAAATTAAAACTCAATTTTACTATTATTTATTATCAACTAATTTCAGAATATGACGTCAAGGATAAATCAGAAAGATCTTAAGAATAATAAAATTGTACTATGGCAGTAATGTGACATCATTATTGCTAGAATCATTTATTAAATTAGGCGAAAAACGTAGGTATTGTGCTTAAGTTCCAAATCGCAATAGAATAGTAACAAGTATTCACGTTTCTGTTCTTATATATGTTAAGCGTGTTCACACTATGTTTATTTCTCTTGGTCGAATGCATAATTCATCGGCAACTAAAGAACCTACTGTTGTACGACCTACCGTTCTATGGTATCTACCGTCTACCGTCTACCAATTAGGACCCTAACGCAATTTAAACGATCAATAATGAGTATTCACTATAGACGTGTTAGCGACGACGGTGAAACACTGAACTAATACAATTTTCGAATAAATTTACCTTCTCCTACCCCGCAACCACTCCCCTTGTCGTTGCTAGCGGTTCGTTTAATTCCTGGAGCGATCTAGACAGCCTGTCACAGGGGTGTGCGTACAATGTTATATTTGCACTTTAAGCAGCCGCACGCGTATACCGGAAGGATATAACAAAGGCGGAGGTTTCGTTTAATTTTGAATACGATGTCCCTAGCTCTATATTTTTTGAAACGCAATTATAACTTTGTCAACGTATAGGGGAGACACCCTCTTTATGAAGTATGACCGCTCACTAGATTAGTTGTTTTGTACTCTCCTCCTAAAACATTGTGCGCGAGAATAGGTAATGTAATAACTTCAAAGGATAATTTCTTAAAATATAGTTGAGCATCTTTGGTGTTTTTTTTTTTCGTTGTCTTTACTAGATGAATTTATCTATAATTTATGTGAGTAAAATTGTTTTTAATTGTAATGTTAAAACTAATATTCACCACTTTAAAGTAAAATAAATCAGATGATAGTAATATTTTTTTGTGTTATGAAGTTCATAAACCGGCAATAACCCTTAATTATGTATTTTGCTGCCTACCCTGGACCGTATTCAAGCAAGCGTTTTCCCTAGTTCATTCCAAAAAAATAGTAAAAAGAAAACTATTACTGGCTGTGGCATAATTAATGCGTTTCTTTGCCATCGTTGTAGAAAAAAAAATTAGGTGCGTTATGTTGTTCGCCATGCAAAAAAATTTCGCACTATATTTCCTACACTGCTAGTAATATGAATGAATAGTATAATGAGTATAAATAATTTTATTAATTTTATAATAAGTTTTCTATAACTGCTTAGAAAGTTTTGTACATTTTTTGTGAAAGCGTCAAAAATTCTTTACTTCCTTGTTTTTTTTTGCTACCATAAACAGTTACAGCAGACACAAAACGTTAGTTTAAACTTCGTTTGAGTTTTCCTTACAGCCGCTGTTCTGCTGTTTGGTTTATCAATTTATTGTTTTTTTCTCGTTATTGATATGTTTAATGGATGTATTATTTGCTAGTAAATAACGCCATACAAAATTCAAGTCAAAGGTATCTGTAGTTTTACAAGTTCTGAAGAACCTTGATTGGACAACTGTAAGGCATGATTTCATTTCTCTTGTACTTTTTTTATTGTATTTTCTGTTATTTTATGTAGTGCACGTCTGTTTCTTATTATTTTAGTCTCGCTATGATTGAGGTTACATAATTTGCTCCCGTTTTCTCCACATTGATTTTTATTTCAGGTTATTATCGACCTGTCAAGAAGACATTTTTTCGTCAAGCTGTTCACACAAATTTCGCAAAATAGGAGACGAAAACCCCTTCAAGTTCTCCAATTTCATATCGAATCTACCACCAATCGTAAGTATTACATATGTCTACATTAATATCTTTAAGGAATTACCGTTTGATTGGGTTTTTTGGACATGACCGTGGTATTCAATGTATGCATATCAATTCGTAAGAGATTGGCTCGCGAGAGTATGTTTTTGTTATTGGTATTGTGAAAACAGGGTAAAGAATGCTAAACACGTGTGAAAGAAACCTGGTAGTTTTGGTTTCTACTTGGTGTTTCTATTGGAATTAATATAACCTATAAAAGTTTGTCATCTGTTTTCTGTCAATATATTTAACGTAAAACATTAGCAGTTTCACGCGATTTCGCTTGCGCTCCCGTTCACACGTTCGACTGCTAATTTTTCTGGAAAATATGCAGTCTCCAACTTTGGCATTAAAGTAGGTAGCATAGAAGTCTAAATATCAGTCATGTATGTAAATAGAACCTTTGAGTCATTGTGCAGTTATAGGGTTCACCTGCTACAATATTCCAGGACCGCTAGCTGTATTGCTGAGGTCACATATGGTAATCAAAAATTAATTTGTCTTTGTATCTGTTAATCACCAATTGTATCTAGTAACTGTCCATACTAGGTTAGAAGATGATATCTGATCATTAATTTGTATAATATCAATGTTTAGCTAAATTAATAATAAGTATTGTGATAGTGAATAATTTATTTGGTATAGTCAAGTGTTATTGGGTTATTAAAGCAGGTATTAAAACCACAGGATGGCTGTTCCTTATTTATCACATTGCAGCTGCAGCTTATGTAAATAAATATATGATTATCTTATTCTCGAATAGGAATCCATGGCAATCTTGGATTGGGAGGTTAAAAATCAATTTTCATCATAGTTCTGCATTGTTTGAGAGTTGTTTATCTCTCCAATTAACCCAATATCACTAAAACCTGCAACTTGATTTACTGTGATCTTCTAAAATTACCACCCACAAGACGAAGAAGATTCAACAGTTTCAGACGCTGCGTGTGGTGATCAGATTTCATCGGTGTTAACATCCATTGACTTTAACTTGAATGTCACTTATGTATAGTGTGTATGTTTTGGTAGAAATTATAGTGGTAGCTTTCTACACACATTATTAGGACTTACTTTTATGTGTGGTAGGAGTACTGTTGGGTAATTTTCCATATAATTTCAAATGATGGAAATTTTTGAAGAAAAATTGGAAGAATATAATTCGAAGGTTCATTATATGTTTCTCTCTACATTTAGACGTATTTTTTTAAGATATATTTAGCATGAATTATAAAATATTATTGTATAGCTAAAATAAAGAGTAAAACGAGATTTAAAATGATTGGTCAACAGGAAAAATAAGGGTCATACGTAAAAAAATCTTTATAATGGCTCCATCGTTTTCATTGAGTATCTTAACTTTGTCAGGTGACAACTTTCAAATGTGGAAAATATACCAAAAATGTTTAGAAAATATTTATTTATAAGAAAGTTGTCATAACCTATTCTGGCTTAACCATCTCCTTAGAAAGAAATAAATATGAGTTGATATATGCCTATTGAATATATCATATAACTTGTACAACAATGCCTCTTTCATGGATATTGTTGCACTACTACATAAGCAATGTTTATACTTCTTTTCATCTTCAATCAATTAGTCTTTGTGCAAAGTTAATACATAAACAATTTGATGTTGTTAATGTTTTAATTAATTACTTTTTCACTGATTAATTGGTTGTAATATATTTGTTTTGAATGTTACTTGGCAATTAACTACTTTCAACCTTCTGGCTAGATATTAGAAAACATACCAAAGCTTTATGCATATGAACACATCATTTCTTGTCACAACAGTTTCATATTCGAGACCAACCACAGTGATTTAAGTCACACACAATGTTGTGTAGGACACAATCAATGTTGTGTTGAACAAACTTATTAACCACACTTACAGTCAAATTCAAAAAAATCATATAACCAGAGGTAAAATAAAATTACACAGCAAAATGTCAAACCTTAGTTACTGCTAAGTTATTGGCTGTAAATTAATTACATACATATTCAAAGTAATCAGCTGTTAGTATGAAACTTCATATAAATGAATGTCAGAATCAAGCCACATTTTTAACATACTTAAAGCATTTCTTTATATTTCAAGCCATTAATGCTCGTTTACAGGGTGGTGGAGCGATGCCACGGTGCAGCAAGCGCACGCGCAGCGCGGCGGGCGGCGGCGGCGCGGGAGGCGACCTGCTGCCCGGACACACAGCCATAGACGACCACCATCATCATAAACGATCAAGAAATACTAGGTACCAAGACTTTGCTTCCCACCAGTTCCCACCAGTGCTGAAGGATATATGTGCTTTAATAAAATTTACTTTATTAACTGTCCTTAGGAGTGTCTATTAATATGCCTTCATAGTTAGTTGCAGAACACATATTTGCAAGTGTATGCTGGCCCCAACAGCTAGGAAAGCAATAAAGCAGTTTTAAAACAATGCAAATGAAAGAAATTATTAAAATTTACAGATTAATAAGAATCTTTTGTACCAGATTTTGATACTTTATTTTATTTACAGCTCACGTCGACATTCCAAATCAGAAGATACCAGTTTCAGTGTTAAGAAATGTTTAGCTTGGTTTAAAGAATATACTACGGTCAATGAGCCAGATGTTTTAGGTGAGTTCTAATAATAGAAGACATTGCCACTTCTTCTTCTTGTCCTTATCCCACGCTAGGTGGGGTCGGCACATTGCCACTATTTGTAAAAAAAATTAAAGTCAGTATGAACAATGCAATTGTTATTTTCGATGCTTATTCAGGTCCTGAAGGTATGGAAAAATTTTGTGAAGATCTCGGAGTGGATCCAGAGAATGTTGTGATGTTGGTGATCGCATACAAAATGGGCTCCAAACAGATGGGGTATTTCACGCAAGAGGAATGGGTGAAAGGTATGTTCTTATTTTTTTAACTTTAAAGTTATCTTAAAAAATGTTTTTTAAGTGAAGTAATTTGTTGTTGCAGGTTTAACAGAGCTCCAATGCGACAATGTGCACAAATTGCAGAACAAATTAGAATATTTACGCAGTTTACTCAATGATCCACATATATTTAAGGCTGTTTACAGATATTCGTACGATTTCGCTAGGGTAAGTCGATTTTAATAAAGCTTTTGACTTAGTGTAGCATGACATACATTTATAACATATATCAAAAATTCACTAGAGATGAAAAGAACTAAATTTAAAACATGTGACAAACAACATCTGTGAACTCTTCAGTTTGGTTTCCTAATGTTTGGTGGTGTTGGCGTCTGGCTTCGTAGAAACGGACGAAAGTGTTCCACAGTTGTGCCTATTGGCACCATTGTACTTTTATATATTATTTTATCTGTCGATGGAGACATTGATCGACACTCCACGCGCACATACTCATAGCCCCACACTTTGTTATTGCGTAAGTTTAAGATGTAATGACATCATTGATAGATTTTATTAGCAGCAAGTGTAGTTTACAGAAATTAAACATATATTTATTGTAATAGATTCTCACACCTACAATTGATCATTACGACCTCGGTAGCCTAATTGTACTGTGAGCTCTTGATGAGGAAACCAAGTAGAACCAATTTGAAAAATGATCTTTTGTAAATTGATACCAATATGGGTGTTCTGGATAGTGCTCCGGTGTGAATACCATTACTCCGGTTGTCAGAGTACAGGGGTTCTCTAGGTAAGGACCAGGTAATTGGTAGATAGATAGGTAAACACTTAATTCACTAATATGACACAAATACAGATTAAATACAAAATATATTTTTTTTTATTAATGCAAAGATCACTTGTAATTATAATTTAAGCGTAACTTTGTAAACATCTCTTAGGCGTTATAACCAAGTAATAAAGTATAGAATGGATGTAGAAATTCGTGAGGTGGAACTCGGCAAACACTCGAATGTGTCTGACGGAACCCAATCACACTCGATTAAGGTGCAAGTAGAATGAATGAAATACAAACTTACCATATCTGCTGACCTGACTAAACGCTCCGACCACCATGTCGGAGGAAAGTGGCGCATATACAAAAAAAATATATATATAAAACTTATAGCGTTGTTGTATCTCGACCGTCTCTCTGTTAATTCTTTTTTATTGGAAGCTATGCCAAAAAAAAAGTATTTACGGAAAAAATGCATCACTTCAAATTTTTGGTCTCAAACTAGGGAATTTCCTGTACTATGAGTACCAGAGTAACGATAATTCTTAAGGCAATACCCAGAATACCCTGACCAGGACCAACTTAAAAATATTTTTTTCATAAATTGGCTCAAATAAGAATCTGGAACCTCCTCATCAAGCGCCCATTGTACTAATCACTGTGCCACCGAAGAGCATAAGCACACCCCGTAATCTGAACCACGCGCCGCAGGCCGAGTCCTATATTATTATTTATCACGCTTGTAGACATCCCGTGCTCTGTTTTTATTTTTAACCCATATATGCCCATTGGGTCGATTTTGTCCTGTAAAACAGGTTTTAAAAAACGCGTGAGTATGTTCACGAAAACGCTTTTTTTGCACCACCTAGAGCCATCTATCGAATAATAAATGTATTATCTTCCAAAACAAATAGGTAATTTAGTTCAATAGTCAATTTTGTAATCTGTGGGGTAAGTTCAAGACATAACTCGTTTAGTGGTGCTAAAAAAGTGTGTTCTTGCTGAGAAAAATGTAAGTATATTTTTTTTATTTAAAAATGTACGTGTTATGTTGTTTTTATTACAAAATGGGATAGTTTACCTATCTTATAATATTGAAAACTTATGAAAATAGATATTTTTTAAGACTTAGATCGTTGTCACAACTTTTATGGGTCGTTAACGACCCTGTGGGAAGATATATATTTAATTGCTGTTTTTTATTTTTAGGTCTCGAAAATTGCTTACGACGAATGAGATAATAGACGAGCTAGAAAATTTAGACTCCGATGATGAGACACGAGGTGTTGATATTTTTATTGAGCCGCCAGGTAGTGGTAGGGTATCTGACGGTGATTCTGGCGATGAAGAAGATGTATATTTTCATCACTTATCTCGTCGACAGCTACTCGCACCTGCAAGTATTATTTTGAGACGTCCTTTAGCTGAGGATACCACTTCCAGCGAGGATGAGGAACTAGAAGATATCGCACCATCGTCTCTGGTGGTAAAAGCGGGTGGAAGGGCCCGTAGAATGGCCTGTGAAACGTCCCGTGGAATGGCCCAAGGAACGGCTCGAGGAACGGTTCGAGAAACAGCCCGTACAAGAGCCCGTGGAAGGTCCCGCGGTAGCAACCGCAAACGAGGGCGTGGCAGGTGGCGAGAAACGAATACTGAACACCAAGCGGGTGGGCGCACCTGGGTGAAAAAAGATCTTCCCCCGCTCAATCGTGAGTGGAACATACCGCTACCTAGGTCTGTAACAATTTTATGCGAAAATACTGACCCAGTCACGTTTTTTGAAATGTTTTTCAATCGAGACGTTATTGTATATTTAGTCAGACAAACAGTAATATATGCTGTTCAATCAGGAAATACAAAATTTTCTTTATCTGACAGAGAAATGTACTGCTTTATTGGTATTCTTATTTTGTCCGGTTATGCTCCGTTGCCGCGACGCCGCATGTACTGGGAGAGTAATAAAGATACTCACAATATTCTTGTCGCAAACAGTATGCGTCGAAATCGATTCGAAGAAATAATGCGTTATTTCCATGTAGCCAATAACTCAGAACTATCTGAAAATGACAAGATGGCAAAAGTACGCCCGCTTATTGATATGCTAAATGCTAAATTTCTACAGTATGCTCCTATTGAAAAAGAAATAAGTATTGATGAATCCATGGTTCCGTATTACGGTAGACATGGTTGTAAACAACATATCAGAGGGAAACCAATAAGGTTTGGGTTCAAAATGTGGATTGCTGCGACGAGATTGGGTTACTGTCTGATTGCTGATCCTTACCAAGGGCGCTCAGAGCGTGTCGATACAGGACTGGGACGTTATGTTATCAAGAAACTAATAACTAAAGTACAAGAGGAGTATCCCGACACAGTTTTCTCTGTCTACTGCGACAATTTTTTTACTGGACTGCCATTGGTTAGCGAGCTCAAAGAAAAAAACGTGTTCTTAACAGGGACGGTGCGGAATAACCGAATTGAAAACTGCCCACTAAAGGACATGAAAAAATGCCAAAAAGAAGAAAGAGGGTACTACGATTACCAATTGGATGAAACAAACGGGATATGCGCTGTTAGGTGGCACGATAATAGTGTTGTAACACTATTGTCTAGTGAACATGGGGTACATACAAAAGGCGAAAAGGTACTCAGCTGCCCTAAAATCAAGAATCGATATTCCGCAACCATACCTGATTTCTCAATACAATCAATATATGGGAGGTGTGGATCGACTGGACGCCAACGTGGGCGTCTATAGGATTGCAATGAGAGGCAAGAAGTGGTATACACCTATTATTTTTTGGCTTATTGACGTCGCGGTAAATAATGCCACACTTCTAGCTCGCCAGTACCGGAGTGACATCGACACTCTTGAGTTTCGAAGGAGCATTACCCGCGTATGGCTGCAGAACTATGGAAATGAAAAGCTTCAACCCGGACCCACACGAAAGATACAAACCACTGTACCTTATTCGGTGCGGAAACACAATTCGGAGCACATGATCGAAAAGGCTGTGAAGAGACTTCGATGTGCTTTCTGTAAAAATAAAACAGTTACAGCGTGTACTAAATGTGGCGTCAATTTGCATGCAAAATGTTTCTCTCTCTTTCACTCTTAAGTTTTGTTAGTAAATAAAAAGTTGATTTACAATAATAGCATTTTATTCGGCATTAACATATTAGATCCAGGTAACAAAGACAATGACATGAGCTATATAATACTTGACTATATATTTGACCCAGGGGTCGTTATCGACCCATTAAAAAAAAAGGATCCCCCCACCACCCACCTCATATATTCTTTTGGATTCATCATAAGAACCCTTCAGGTACTCACATATCCAAAAATGAAAGAAATCGGAGACCAAAAATAGTTCTGGGCATATATGGGTTAATGTATAAATCGAGGATAACCGTTACTGGCTTTGTAATATGTAATTAACTTTTTGTAATCTATCAATATTTGCTGTTGTTATTCCAAATAAATAAATGAATGAACGAATTATGAGCCGACTAGAGTCGTTGGACACCTGATAAAGCCAGACTGGGCGCAGGACAAGGACCAGCGGTCGCTGGACACGGGCACGGCGCGCGCGCTGCTGGGCGTGCTGCTGCCGCGCTGGGCGCTGCGGCCGGCGCTGGGCGAGTTCCTGGCGCGCGAGCGGCGCTACCGCGTCGTCAACAAGGACCAGTGGTGCAACATCCTGGAGTTCTCGCGCACCGTGGACGCGCACCTCACCACCTACGACGCCGACGGCGCCTGTGAGTCTTGGCTGTTCCGATCTTGCAGGCTGGCCGGGCCTTCTTTTTAACCGACTATGTTACGCGATAACTCCGCCCTTTGTGAACCGATTTTGATGATTCTTTTTTTGTTGGAAAGAGGTAGTAAGGTAATATTTAAAGAAAATATTCGACGTCTAAGGGTGGTAAACTAGGGGATGAACTGTATGTACTGAGGTTAGGTTATTGTATGTAGGTTATTTGTTAACCGATTTAATGATTCTTTTTTTGTTGGGCAGAGGGTGCCTCAGTAGTGGTCCCATTTAAATTTGAAGAAAATATTCCACCCCTAAAGGTGGCAAACAAGGGAATGAATCCTGTTTCGCGCGCTTTGACGCGACGTATTTGAATTGTATGGAGTTACCATAGGTACTGGTTCTTGTTCTACTATGACAGTGGCGCCACTGCAGCACTTATAATACTATAAGCGTCTAGTTTGAAAGCCCCCCTTAAAGAGAGAGAAAAGTTCAACGAGGCTGGTATCATGACTGTGGCATACATTTACTCAAATATTTGGTATGCCCGTAAAAATTTACATAACTTCATTAAGAAAGAAGATATCTCTATAGATATCTTCTTATTATTAATATTAACCTTTGAATTAAGTTCTAAGCTCGTGGTACCACTATTTCGTTTAACTAAGGTAAACGATTCTTTTATGGGGAACTGTATACCTTTACAATAATATAATATATTAAGATTATCATTTCGTAAGTTTAAAACTTACATTATAATTGAAAAGTCATATTACAAAATTGTAGACTACCTGTTAGATAAAGATGTATGAAAAGACAGCGTGAGTCTAGATTCCACACAAATATGATTCAAAATGTATTCTATAGCATTTAAGTTTAAGAGCAATCCCTAGAGTTTCTTGCTCGTTCTCTTCAGGCGTAGCGAACGAGCAGTAGCTTAAAAAATGACGTTTTCAAATGTACAAATTTTACCTATGGAATAATAGTAGTTTCTGTGACTGTTACATAATGAAAGGCATTAGAATACGGGTGTGGGTTTAACGAGCCGGTAGGCGAGTTTCATAAAAACATCTCACGAGTGTTTTAATGCCTAATTATGTAGTTACACACACTGCTTTATCTACACACATATTATAAACTCTCTGTGATGTGTTCAGGAACCGTATATTACGACTGGCGAAATGGCTTCAAATAAAAACTTTTGTCACGCGTGTTACACAACCGTAGTTTTTATTTAATTCATAGACAAACTAGAGTCGGCCCCAACTATCATACCGTTCGATATCAAGTAACGTGTGAAATTTGTCAAAATTGTTTTCTATTGACATTTCGTTTCGAGTAAAACTTCATCTGGACTGATATTAGAATTGAGGCCGAATCAAATTGTTTTGTGTTTGAAATCAAATTGTGTTTCAGAGATGTTGGAAATTTGAATGTAATAATAACATCGAAACATCGAATTCGATGTCATTATGAAGCAATAATAACATTTTCAGAGATAAGAAATTTGTTCTAACGAAACAGTTTATCTTTGTGCTAGTCGTAATTTGCAGTTTTTGAACACAACATAGAGGGCTTATGATATGTGTGTAGATTATTGGACTTTGACATCGCTTGTCGCTGTGCAGGGCCCGTGATGCTGGACGAGTTCGTGGAGTGGCTGCGCGGGGAGCGGGCGGGCGCGGCGGACGCCATGGCGCTGGCGGCGCCGGCGCCGGCCTCCAGCTGAGGGCCGCCCCGCCCCGCCCCGCCGACAGGTACGAGCCCCCGGCGGACTCGACGAAGGTCCCGCTTCCCCGAGGGTAAACCGAGGACGTGTGCGCGTTCGCTCCGTGGGGGACACCGCCCGACCCGGCCACCCGCACGCGAACGCGTAGGTTTAGCTATACAAACTCACTATTTGAAACTGCAAACATTTTACTCTGCTAAAACGACGCGAGGTCTCGCCGAGTTTACTCGTGGTGAAGCTAGACCGTGTGGACGGTACTGAAACCCATCATCCATCGAAGCGGACGGGGAGAGTAACGTAATCCGAAAAATTGTAGCGCATTCTTCTCCGCTTCGATAGATAATGAGCCCAAAATCATACCATATAAGCGATATTCAAGCGTTAATCTTATAGCGAAAGATGTTACTGCGATATCGTCTTGATGTATAGTCCATCCAATCCATTGTACCAGAAAAGTAAACAAACAGATCGTTGACCCGACCATAGACAGTTTAGTGATGGCCTATTGTTCTGCCAAATTCAAATCGATTTGGTGAATTGAATCTGTTGAAATAACTGGATTTTATATAATAAAATGAGATATGAGACTTCGCTGCTGATTGGTATCAAAAAATGTGTGATGCAATACTGAGTGATGATATTTCATACATGCCATTAGAAATAAACTTCGATATTCGTTCGATTGTGCTTAAATTTTCGATTCACTAATCGATTATAAAAACTTTAATTGAATGAACCGAATGAGATAGTTCCGTACAGCCCTATACAACCATAGACTATTCACAAATCTATATTTGAAAAATAACCTCACTTTTGATCTAACATTTTTCAGAGTTATTCAAATGAATATTGCTGGAAAAAATGATGAGATATTAAGTCGATATCTTCAAAATATACGTGACAGTGTTACTTATTCCATTTATTGAGTGATTGCTTGAAAATTTTAATAAACCGGTTTGTTTACTTTTCGGGTGTAATGAATTGGAACAGACTTTAGCTGCAACACGCTTGCGATATAACCTAGTCTGTCTTTGTTGAAGTTGGAGTAAAATTACAGTTTATTGCGCTAAAGTGTTGCCCGCTTGCGAGCAGCTAGTGATTGAAGTCGATAAATATTCTGTCGACTATCGACAGGATTACGCTTATGAAATAAATAGCCGAACTTGTTTCATTTGAATCATCATTGGCCCGTTCATTTAAATTGTAATTTTTTGAAAATTTATACATACATACTCAATTTAGCAGTAGGTGTACAAAAACTAAATAAGAGTTTAAAGTTTTTAATTTCAATTTAATATACATAATCCAAACCGCCTGTTATTAAAATGTGTATGACTAAAAGTTTATTTCGATGCTAATAGACCGACTGTCAAAATAAGAATAAAGAATACAATAATGCAATTAGTATTCATAACGTCCTAACTTTCACAATTAAAACATTTTTGGAAAAATTTTACCTACTTTCACAATCTATCGATAAAACTATCGACAACAGTTATATGACTATTTAAAATTTTACGAAAACTGGCAACCCTGCAAATGTCATTTTACTCCATCTTCAAAAAAGACTACGTTGAAATATCACTTAGGTAATGTGACCCTTAATTTGAAAAGTGTCTTGAATTGCGCGAATCTACCACACCTTGATGTATCTTTGTCGTCTTGTTCATATGACTTTATTGTTTTGATAAAGCAGTTCTCACACTAACGCTTGTCACAGCCACATGCAATGCTCACAGCGTGTCGCTGCGACAGGCGTAAGAACCATCCAAACTTGTCATCACCATATCTAATCTCAGGACGGTATTTAAAGGTAAACATTTCGCAACAATGACGTCCGTCGCAAGTTATCTTAACGATAGAAATTAAGACAAACTATCGGTTTACAGTCGTAATAAATGATATTTGACTCAACGGTTTAGTGAATTATAACTTCGGGATAATAATAATCTTAAAAACTAATACAATGTAATTGATTAAATATTCCAATTATCGTGCGAGATTATAACAAACCATCGAGTATATAACCAGAAATAGAGACGAAATAAGGGCCATTAATCCCTGGCAACTAATCAGTCAAATGGTGCTGACGTCACTTTTAAATATCAACTCTCGTTTGCGCTGATATCACAAATAAGAAAGCTGAAATACCTGACCTGTGTGTACGTCTCCGTATATTCCAAAAATATTCTGTATTTATTATAATAAAGATAATATCTCTAACTGGGGGATAATATCTCTAACTGTTGCATTCAGTGGTGTGGGAAAAACAGCAAAACATCTAATTACAAAACAAATAGAATCACATTTTATCGGTAATTAAAATATTAAATTATGTAACTTTTCAATTTTCGTCCATTATCCAAAGCTCAAGTTAAACTGGTAAATTTGAAGTGAAACAATTGACGACGCCTGTCAATTGTTTCGAATTCGGGCTGGCCAATCGGAGCGCAGTTGTCACCGTAATGATAAGGCAGAATAGTTTTCAAACAAATTAAATTACATTTCGTCTGGTTATATACTCGATGTAACAAACATATGAAGTAATTATTTATATTCGTATCTAAAAAATTAAGCATTTTTAAACTTGTTCATATTGACTCCGTGCAAAATATTATAATGACATTACACACGCAATTTTTTTTTATAATAAAGGCATACCCACCAAGAGCTAAAAGATATCCACTTCGTCTAGAACCAGTTTTGAAAATTTCCCAATTTGGTACTACCAGGAAACGAACCCGGAACCTCACCTCAAGGATATGATTTACAACAGACCTTTGTCATCTTTTTTAGACACGCTTATATAAAGTCAAGTTAATAATACTCATGAGTTAACGTTACTTATGTGCGATTGCAGCCCAGTGGGAGAACAGTTTCTTCTCAATAAGTCGGCGATTCGAATCCCTCGGAAGCATGTACCTATGACTTTTTACTAAAGGTGTCCCGAAAGTAAAGTACCAGAGTAAGAAGTTTTAACGAGCCTATAATTCCAGAACACACAGAATTAATTTAGAAGTTTGTTTCATAAATAGGTTTTTCCTCTGAGATCTGCTAACTAATGGGCAAAGCACACCACGCTGTCAACTTATAATAATATTACTGAATATACTGAACGGAGACAATAATGAAGACGTGTTTTAAAACAACATCAAAAATGCCAAAGATAAATTAATTTGAAAGACTGTGGCCGACATTTTTGCGAATTTGTAACGATAAGTCGAGACAATTACAAAATGCGTTATCATTTTGTAATTTTGATTGTCAGTTTGTAATTTGTATTAGTCTTATTTACTAATTGAACAATTTTTCAAGATTTGATTTGTAAATATTGAATTCGTTATGTTAAATTGTAGGAATA